TTATTCAAGATTTAATTTTTAACTAAACCTAAGTTCTTATCTTTTCTGTTTTTTCTACTTTATATTTTTCTCTCTTCCATATGTTCATATGAATGTGATTTGCTCAGTTCAATTAAAATTTAGATTAAAGTACAAATCAAAATTAGTAATTAATGTAATCATTTATTTTCTCGATTTTTATCAAAATTTACTAAAAAAAATTTATTATTTTTTAACTACACGTTCTTCAAAAAGTCATTATTTTAAAATACATTTTTATCAGAGTCTCATTAAAATGGAGCTCAAACAAATACCATTGCTTTTCTCTCCCTCATTGTAGTAGAATGGAATACTTGGAAAGTTCACGCATTAGTATAGGCAGACGCTTTATTGGATCTTGTGTCTCTATTTGGTTAATTCTTGATGGGTTTCCAGTAGTTTGAATTATGGTATAATTATACCAAAAGTTCAAAATATTGGGCTTTTTGAGTATCTCCCAAAAAGTAGTCTAGGAATTGGGGCTGCTGCTTGAATTTTGGGGTGTTGCATTGTGTACTCATTTAGTATAGCTTTGTTGATGTAAAAATAACAATATTCTTATATCAAATAAAAATTTTGTTTACTTCATTTATTGCATTTATTTATCATTAAGTGTGCGAATCAAAATGCATATGATAACTTGTGATAATATAAGTTGGGTACTTATTTTAAGAAGTACAATACGATACAACTTATATTTTGATCATAAATAATTTGTTCATATTTAATGTATAAGGGTTGACATCTTGTACTGGAAGATTATGTTGACTAGTTCAGTATTTGTGTTGACCATTTGTTTTTATCATAGAAATAATTAAAAGACACTATCGCTGTGTATTTCATCTAAATCCATTGACGAGGTTATGTGTATTTTCTCATGATTTTAATGGTTTTTTGATTCATCAATGAGTAAGATCAATTTGATTGTCAAATATCTCGAAAAGTTGGGAGTTTGAGAATGAGTAAAGTAGAGAATACGAATTCGTGTAATTTCGTAGTGTTCAAATTTGGAGAGAGAAAAAGAGAAGAAAATTATTTTTCTTGCTTTTTTAATTGTTCAATTCAAGAATTAGTTTATTGATTTAATCAAAAGTGCCCACTCGTTGGTGTAGCTTTGACTTTAGAGAATACCAAGAGAACTTGGAAGTTTGAAGCATCAAGTTCTTGGAACTAAAAGTTGGAAGTTCGTGATCCAAAAAGCTGGAAGTTAGTGATTCAAAATTTATTTAAGAATTAACAATCGTATTTAGGTAAAAATTCAAATATTTTATTTTTGATATAGTAGACACGTGAATATTTAGATGATCTTGTTTATTGAATTAAAGAAATTTTTTAATTTCTGGATAATTCTGTTTCTATATTCCAACAATGATAACTTCTTTCATACTATGTTTCATGCTTCTTATTTAGTATGTTTGGATAAATCTTTTGAAAATCATTTTAACGATATAAAGATAATTAATTTTAGTTTTGAAATGAAGAAGTTATGGTAGAATCAGACCCCACTGAGGTCGACTAATGTGTAATTGAAAATAAGTATGTAAAATAAGGATTTTTGAAATAATAAGTGACAAACATGAGCTTATATTTGGAAATGTTCAATTTATCTGAGAGGACAAAGGAACTAAAGGTGTTGGTACTCAAATTTTGCAACCATCGGAACCTCCCATTGAGTTCGACTTGTATGCTTGGAGTTCATGAAATATTTTATCAGGTTTTAGAGTCGTAAAATTGATATTGCGTTCTTAATATTTTAATGCATTAAAGAATTTTGTGTTAAAAGAAGTGTTGTAATCCACTTTCTCATATTGATAACTTGTCTAAAGAGAATTACATAAAATTGGATTTTGAAATGATATTTATAAAGCAAAATCAACCTTGGTTGGCTTTTGAAAGGGTACGTGTTTATGCACCAATTCTACAGCAAACTGTACTTTTATTTCCTATCATTGCCCAAAGTAGTAGACATACTGACACGATTCATTCCCAATCACCCTAATGGACCTAACATGTGTTGTGCGTCGATGGTAGATACCAGCTAAGTGTCGGATCCACCACCAAGACAACGTTGACCTACTTTGACTGTGATGAATTTTTAAAAGAATTTTGATAGATTTTCCTTTGAAATATGAATTAAAACCACCTGTACAAAAATCAAATTTCTTACATTTATACATATAGGGGACGTTTGTTTCTTATTTTTGTAAAAATGAAAATAAAAAAATATAGTTATGGGCTCCACACGAGATAGAAATTCAAATTTGATGATTTGATGTGATGGATAACGATCATATTTTTCATTTTAATGGGAAAAAAATGAGAAACAAACCGGGACATAATTTAAAATAGAGTATACCAGCCTCTTCAAATACAAACTATTCAAAATAAAAGTGTACAGGAATGAAATTTACACTTCTTAACAAGCAAAGATTCTAAATGCCCAGCATATTTGAAGATACCAAATATGTAGATATGGATACAATTTATAACAAAAATATATGTATCCGAAATATATGAACTGTATAAACTAATAAGATGAATCATACAAATAACGACTATGTGGCTCAACGCAGTAAATCAACAGGTTTCAACGCTACTCAACTCAACTATTATCTAATAAAAAAAAAGTGACAAAATATATGAGCTTGTAACTTAGTTAGTGGATATTCGCAAATAAGTATATATTTTGCATTTTTGAAAACTGGTATATAATAAAAAAAATATCATTTCTCAATACTATAAGCTAAATTCTTTATTTTTTAAACCGAATAAATTAAATTCCATAATCTGAAATCTGATAAACTGTATATATTACTGAAAACCACACAAAAAAAATACCGAGAATAACCATATTCATATATCGATTAATCTCGATGTACATGGCAAGGTTATTCAATTTTGAAATTTTGAAATTCTATAATTCTGGTCATACGCATGTAGAGTTGTCCAAATGTTACAATCTAGTCATACATTACGGAAACACATTCGCCATAGTGCATAAAGGGTAAAATAACTATAATTGATTATACACTGTGGAAACTCATTCACACCAGTGCAGATAGGGTAAAATAACCATATAGGGTCGTACACTGTAGAAAAACATTTATATGAGTGCAGACCATGATAAAATCACCTGGATATTTTGTGGTGATTTTTAAAATAACTTTAAATATGCTGAAATATTTAATATTCATATAACATGCTAATAAAATGATTTAATTGAATTGGATTTATCTTTAAAAACAACTGATTAAAAATTCCATTTTATTCTGAAAATAATGCTATCAACTCAAGTTATAAATAAGTAATTTTAAATTTAATGAATACTTATTTCTGAAAAATAAATTTTTTTCACTCATATAATAAAAGCTATAGCCTAAGATGATTGGTAAGCTTTTCCAATCTCTTCGTCACCACTTGAAATATGTTACAAGATAATCAACTTAACCACTACTAAAATCAAGAAACCTTTTATTTCTAATGATCTAATACTTAAACTAAATTTCTCGATACTTAAATAAATCTTCTAAATTTTTCTTTAATCAATTGGAGCTAATTCTACTTTCTAGTCCCTTTACAAATAACCAATTCATCAAAATAACCTTTATCCAAAACATAAAAATAACTATCCCATCTTCCATCTAGTGAAAACTTGAAATCAAACTTGCATCAATTTACTTTACATTTTGTATTATCATTATCCATCATATCAAACAATCATATTTGATTTTTTATTTCTTGTGTGGGGTCGATAACGATTATATTTTTCATTCTCATTTCTACAATAATATGGCTCAAACGAGGGTTAAATGAATGGGTTGTAACACACACTCTCATCCTTTCTTTCCTCTTGATTTTAACCCTAACATTTTAATAATTAGCCAGATTTATCATTTTTGGACGGCTCCCATCCATTTCATCAGTTGACTGGGTTGCTGACTTCCAATTGAGTTTTAATAAAAATGAACATTGCTCCCTAACTAAGAGCCAATAAAGTGAATTTAACTGACTAATTAAACTCCTGTTTGATTTGGTAAAAATTAAAACTTTAATAGATTTTTGTAAAAGTTGGTGAAATGTGTGATTAAGACTAAATAATATATGGGTGGGATTAAGGAGAAGATGAATGAAAATCTTTCTTTTTATTTATTTAGTTTTATTGTTGATCATTTGAATTCATTTTGAATGGATGGACAAATTTGCCCTTCATTAGAAGTCAATTGACCATTTAACGGTATAAATAGATGGAAATAGTTCAAAGGACGAATCTTGTCAATTGCTCAAAGGTTGAGGCTTAAAGTAGCCAAAGAAAAGGATTGTTAGGGACAAAAAGTGCAATTTACCCTTATTTTAAAACGTTCGGTGGACCAAATATGCTAATCTGTTTCCATGTTAATGATGAGTTAGGTCAGAACACTACTCCAACTTTGGGGGAAAATGATAAAAGGTAGTGTATGACTATTTTGCCCCGAAAAATTATGCTCTTATTTAGTGTAAATTAAAATTTTAAGTTAAGGTCAACAATTAATTTTAGCCCTCGTTTGATTCTCATTCTTTGGCTATAAAAATGAAAATTATGACTGTTATTTATCACATCAAACCATTATATTTGATTTTCTACTCTTTTGTAGATTCCATAACGACTATTTTTTCATTCTCATTCTTACAAAAAATAGGTACCAAACGGAGTCTTAATTACATATCTTATTGAACTCACAATTTTTTAATCACACATTTCATTAACAAATTTTGTAGGTTGGTGATGGATTAGAAAAAGTCTTCAAAGGTTGGGGATGAAATGCTCAAATTTCTCAAATTAAAACACCTTTATTTGTCATCCCATTTTCCTTTTTGTTTATTATTATTATTATTTTAATACAATAAAAAACTTAAACGGGAAAAATGAGAGAGTAGTTGCGAGTACGCTACCTCGATCAAATAAATTCTCCCTCCAAATAAAAAGAGGAAAACAGCCGCTCCTCACTTCCCTCCCATATTTTTAAAAAGATTTCCCCATCATTAAATACCTCAGTTTTTCAACAAGAATTCACAGATCCATAAGCAATCTTCCATATCTCTTCTAGTCATGGCTTCTTCTTTTGTCAACGGTCGCAATCTGAAACGATCCGGTGAGGTACACGTCATTGTCGGCCCCATGTTCGCCGGTAAAACCACTGCTCTCCTTCGCCGTGTCAAGTCCGAACTCAACTTGGACAGGTTATTCTTCTGTTATCAATACCTGTCTTCCTAATGCATAGCATAAGATAATTTTGTTTGGAAAATTTAGAATTTGCTGCTTTGAAGGATTCTCTCTCTCTCTCTCTCATTTTGTCTAATAGTAGAATTCAAGAATGATTATTGGGATCTTTCAACATATAAATTGATGCATAACGATAATTGCCTCTGCTCTGAAAGAGTACATTTCAGAATTTTATTATCATTTCCCATAAGCAGTGGGGCAATTTCCCTTTTCCGTAAACTAAGTTGATGCTTCTGCAAACAATATGTAGAAATGTTGTCATAATAAAGTCAAGCAAGGATACGCGATATGCGGTAGATTCAGTGGTGACTCACGATGGGACGAAGTTCCCTTGCTGGGCATTGCCAGATCTCTCGTCTTTCAGGCAGAAATTTGGTGCCAATGCCTATGACAGAGTAATTTTTACATACTCGAATACCCTTTTACTTCAAATGTGTATGGTTTTATGGCGTACCTAACATGTTGTTGATCTATTTTACTTGATAATAGCTTATTTCACCTTGAGTTCACCGTCCCTTAATGGTGAAAATATATGTTGAATATGGAGTGGTGCTCTCAGTTCTGTATTATGTGAAACCAGTCGAGGACTCTTTGTTTGAATTATGTTCCTTAAAAATGCTCATCTTAATATCTCCTTTCACTACAGCTTTTTGGGACTACTGGAGTCCAACAATGCCCTATGTTGGTTATCCTAAGATCGGAACATGCTAAACAGGAGCATTAGATAGGGTTCTGATATACTTCAAATTCAATGAAAAACGCAGTGCTTATGCTGGTTTGAGTTTACGGACTACTGAAAAGGATGTTTCTTGCTTAACCACAGGAGAACCATGTTTACGTACTTTTGCTTAACATTGATCCTCTCACGTACTTCCCAAATGCAAAAGGCGATATAGCTTAAAAATGTTAATAGTTATTTTCTCTTCTTAGGAGAAGTTTGAAGACAGCAGTTAAAAATTCAATTTCCATATTTCTATTTTTCATATTCGGATAATTTTTTTGACTACTAACAGAACATTTAAGAATTCTTTATCTTTGATCAAGTGTAAAAGCCAGTTGCCCTGTTAATTCGTATTTATTTTATTGTGGGCAGCTGGATGTGATTGGTATTGATGAAGCTCAATTCTTTGATGACCTCTATGAATTCTGCTGTGAGGCAGCTGATCTTGATGGAAAAATTCTTGTGGTTGCTGGCCTAGACGGTGATTACATGAGGTAATGATTTTGAATTCTCTTAATTCATTATGTATTGTCATCAAAATTTGTAATGTATGGTCACAGGAGGACTTTTGGCTCAGTGCTTGATATAATTCCTCTTGCTGATACCGTTACAAAGTTGACAGCAAGGTGCGAGTTGTGTGGCAAACGGGCATTTTTCACTTTGAGGAAAACAGATGAGACGCGGACAGAACTCATAGGCGGTGCTGATGTTTACATGCCTGTTTGCCGTCAGCACTATGTTAATGGACAAGCTGCACGAAATGTGGAAGCTCAGAAAATTCCGAATGACTTGATAGTCGAGGCAGCAGCTACACTAGTTTAGAATACTTTTAGGCTTGTTTGCTTACATATTATGAATCAGCAATTATGGTTACATATTGAAGTTTTAAGTGTTTCCTCTCTGTACCTTCAGGTGTTATGTAAATATAAGTTATGTTGTATGATCTTTATGAGTTGAAAACTACAAGAATTGCTTGAAAACTCTTGCGAATTTCATTTTGCTAGATGGATTAGTAGTTAAATTTTGCAATAAAGCGACTCACACAAGGCCAAAAACCGGGTGAAATAACCCGTTGTCGAATGCAGTTATGTTTTGTTTGTCCTCAAAACAGTAGCTTTTTATGACTTTTGTAGTTCGACAAATGTTAATGAAAGTGTGTGATTGAAATGTTGACAAAAATTGTGGATTCAATAAAAATATGCAATTGAAATTAATTGTCGATTCTACCAAAACTTTTTAAAAATTTTTTAATTTATTCTAAACCAGCGCTAAATGAAAAGCTTTATTTTAATTGAACTTATTATTTAATAACACTAAATTATTACGTAAATTAATTGTAAATTTGAATAATGCGAAATAACAACACTCAAATAATAATTGATTCACTACTAAAAACTATGCTCTACTCAAACAAGTGGCAAAGAAAAAAGTCAACATTTTGGCCACTAGGGCACATCTCCAAGTGGTAAAAGGAGAGGATGGAGAAATCCAATTTTGCTTGAGGCTGCTGCGTCAAGGGTTTGAATTATGAAATATGGATTTGGCTCTTGGGTAAGTGCAAGTGTACAAGTAGCCTTTCACCCTATACCCTTGGAGGCATAACCTGCGATTTACCTCTCTCACGATGCTCTAGGATAGGGGTGATGAGGGACCCTTAAGGTTAGAGTTTAACTTTTTTTTTTTTTTTAAAGTCAACATTTTGCTCGTAAAACCTTAGTCATGATTGCCTCCAAAACTTTTTCTTTTATTTAATGCAATTTCCACTTTGACTTTGCTGTACTTTCCCTCCAAATAGTCGTAGCCAACAACTATGCCACATCAACTTTTTAAAATTCCTGTCTTTCACCCTATTTTTGGCCCTGTGTGAGTAGCTTTATTGTAAATTTTGTTATCCGAGTCAGTTGTCAAAAATAGAAGACGGTTTTTATAGAGAAATGCTACAAAAAAAAGGGTCAAAAACAAGGTTAAAAATTGGGAGACCACGTGTTGAAGCATGAATGAACAATTTAAAAAATTAAGATAAAGGAACAAACAATCAAACGCTATCAAGTCAGTTTGTTTACACTTTCCCTACTTTTAACTCTGTTCACCATTATTTCCCTTCCAATTAACAGTGAGCTTTAGGGTTTTTGGACTGATTTGACTTATTCTTTCCGCACAATGACTGTGTTAATTAGGTGTATATTTGTTGAGGATTGAAAGTAGATTTTTAGTAGAATGCGATAGAAGTTTTTGAAATGTATAATTGAAAAGTTGTTGGGCTCATAAAAGATGTGGTTAATATTGATTGTTTGATTTTAATTTAGATTAAAATCAAATTTTAATCTCTCCCAAACAAGCTCTAGATGAGTAAGGAATATTTTACATGTGACTTCGTTTGATTTTTATCATTTTCAAAATATGTTTTTCTCTTTCTTTCTATTCAATCACATATTTTTTAATAAAATATTATTATACACAAATTTAAAATTTTTCCTTATTTTTTAATCACACATTTTCATCACTTTACTATTTCAAAAAGTATTCTTACAATAAATTGTGACTCAAACTGACTGTAAGTTTTTGTGGAGTACAAATTGGTTTTGTAGTTCTATAAATTTTCCTTTAATTGTAGTATTACAACTTTGTAATTTTTTTATTATAATCATGTCTTGGAACCATAAACTATAAAGCTTGAAACTAGGGATGGCAAAAAAATCTTCAAACTCAATACCCGCGGTCTTGTCCCAAATAGGGCGAGAATTACCCGCTTAATCGGGGAATTTCGCCCCAAGACGGGTACGAGTAACACCTGCTCCACTTCATTTACTTTTTTTCTTTTTAAATTCAATACTTTAAATGAAAAACTCTAGAAAATTTCATTAATTTTAATAGAAGACAACTAAGATTATCTAAGAATATGATAAATAATAAAATTTTAGTTTACCAAATATATTCAAACAATTAAACTATTAAAAATAAATAAATGAATTAAACAAATTTAATAATTATATTATTGTCTCACTTTAATGAATGGGTGCAATGAAATAAATTTAAAAAAAATAAAAATAAATGGGCATGTAAATAGGGCAAGGCCCCGTCCCACCCGCCTTAAACGAGTATGGGGCAGGTATGGGGGGATACACTCCGTTGCTACCCCTACTTGAAACGAGCATGAATTGACATTGTTTATTGTGAATGCATAAAGTTTGTGGTTCTTACATACAAGAATTGAAATGGATTGGTGTGATCCATTCAATTGGAAATCGAACCAAAACTCGGTCTAGTTATATTAGGTTAACCACTTAATAGAAAATTGGTCAATTGATCGAAAATCAATCAATTAAACTAGAAATTGGTGAGGTTTTAATGATTTCGTTGATTCCAAAATATTTTTTTAGCAAAAAATTATTATATAGGTCTTGTCTGATTTTCATTTTTTTTCAAAATACATTTTTTTCTATTCTTTTTAACTACACATTTTTTAATAAAATAATATTATATGCAAACTTGAAACTTTTTTTTATTTTTTAATCATACATTATTCATTAAATCACTATTTCAAAATACATTTTTTTTTTTTGCAAAAAATAGGCATACAACACGCTCATAATAAAAAAGTTACCTAGTAGAGTGGCCGGCCATTCACTCAAACTATGGAGCTCTTTTATATCCATTTCTTTAGTCTCATAATTGATTCACTTCTAATATGGGATTGACAAATTTCAATAAAACACACTTTTTCAACACACTTTCAATATGGGACTATATATATATAATTGTTGCTCTTAAAATATAATTATATAACTGTCAAAATAAAATTAAAATGTTCATAAATATTTATTTAATACCTTTGATTTGACCTCAATTTGATACATGTCGAACTTTATGACCCTTAACCCTTTTTCTTTTTTGATTTGATGCCTGGAACAAACTTTAAAACATTGATTGTTTTTTGGCACAGCCTTTACTTAAGGAGGTAAAGCAGTACGCGTAGGCCATTGAATGGCAAGGCATTGCCTCATATGGGCTATGCCTATACGCACAACCCATAAAGTGATAGGGCATGGTTGGGAGTGCTTTGCATCAATTTGCACATGGACCCTAAGGTCACGTAACCAATTAAGCTGCGCTTGGCCTTGGTTAGCTAGGCATCTCCTATTACAAGTTGTGCCTATTAGGAAAGGTAGATGGCCAAGCATTGTCCGCTACAAAATATTATTTCGGATATGGTCCCTAAATGTCTTAAGTTCTTGGTAATGTTGACTTATTACCTTCATTTTTAGGCATGGATGATCTCACGTCTCACTCCTCAAAACTGACACGTATTCTATCAAACAATCCAAATTCGTCTATAATTAAGTATCTCCATAAATCATAAAGTTGTTGATGATTTCTTACAATTCTATAATGACTCACTGCGAAAAAATAGCCCAGGAGAACCGATTGACATTGATATATTGAGGAGTGGTTCCATGTTATCATAAGAGCAAAGCTTAGTATTAATTCTGGACATCTCGGAACAAGAGATCAAAGATGCGTTGTTTTCTATTGGAGATGTAAATTTCTGGGACTAGATGGTTATTCTTCTTGCTTATTCAAAAAGTCTTGGAGTATAATTGGTAGATAATTTGTAGAAGCGATCAAAGAATTCTTTAATTCTACCTCACTTCTTAAGCAAATGAATCACATGATCATTGCTTTGGTGCCTAAGGCTAATCATGCAACCACCATGGGAGTCTATATGCCTATTGCGCGTTGTAATTCGATTTATAAGGTTATTACTAAGATCCTTGCTTTTCATTTGGCCCTACTCTTCGTACTGTTATTGATGAAGCACAAGCTATGTTTGTAAAAGATAGATGCATGATGGAAAACATCTACCTTGCTCAATAGTTCCTTAGGCAATACAACCGGAAGAGAGTTGTTCCTAGATGCCTTCTCAAAATTGATCTTAGGAAGGCATATGATTCGGTTGATTGGGATTTCCTAAAAAGGGTGCTTGAAGGGCTTGGATTTCCAATAAAATTCATTGGACGGGTGATGGAATGCATTACTGTCCCTACTTACTCCATTGCACTTTATGGAAGCCTTTATAGATTCATAAAGGAAAGGAGGGCGCTTCATCAAGGTAACCCTCTATCACCATTTATGTTTGTTATTTACCTAGAATATTTCTCTAGAATGCTAAAGGGCGCAACCGAGAATAATGACTTTTATTATCATCCTAAATGCAACCCTTTGAAGATAACTTGGCATTTACGGATTATTTGATGCTTTATGCTAGAGGGGATGTTATTTTGGTTGGTATCTTGATGGAGTGCTTATCCAAATTTGGAGGATGTCGGGATTAAGAACAAATGTGAATAAGTCTAACTTGTATATGACGGGAGTTCGTGGCTATGTGTTGGAGGACATCTACCAATTAACTAATATGGCCAAGGGATCTACGCCTTTTCATTATTTGGAAATACCACTTACGACAAAGAAGTTGAAATTAGCTCTTATGACTAAGGTATCAACAAAATCTCGGCTTATGTTGGAGCATGGTCTAGGATACCTTTATCCTATGCAGAGAGAGCGGAATTAGTGAGATCCATTCTAAAAGGTGTGAAATGCTTTTGGCTTTCTATTCTACCAATTCCAGCCACAGTTATATCAAAGATTGTTAGCCTTTGCCGTAATTTTCTTTGGGGGTTTTAAAGTCATTGGTTGCTTGGAGTAGTATTTGCTTGCCAAAACATGAAGGCAGCTTTGGATTTAGGGATATAAAATGTTGGAACTTGGTATTTCTTGCTAAAACTCTTTGGAACATTCATAGCAAGAAAGACACGCTTTAGATTAAACGGGTAAATCAGATTTTTCTTCATGGGATATTTGGGAATACAAGGCTAGAAAACAAGACTCTCCATTGATTATAAAGCTGCTAGAAGTTCATGATCAGATTATATGGCTTGAACGCACTGTTTAAGCTACAAGGGATGTGTTGTCTAATTGGACAGCTTCAGGCAGTTCTGCGTTTCGGCCACATATGAGTTTTTCAGGCCAAAGAGGCCATATGTCGCCTAGACAACAACTGTTTAGAATGCTTTCATCACTCCTAAACATGCTTTTATTTTATGGCTTGGTGCTAGGTCCAAGTTGTTAACTAAGGACAAACTAAGGTACATGGAGATTGACTTAAACTGTAGTTTTTGTGGTGTTGGGAAAAAGACGGATCATCACTTATTCGTCACCTGTTAGTTTAGTGCACACGTTTGGGGAGAAGATCCATGCATGGCTTGTCATTATACGCTCTATGTCCACCATCCTTAGTGTATTGAAGTGGATTAAAAAGGAGGCTCAAGGGACGGCTTTGCATAATAAAGCTAAGAAGATTGCTCTTACTAGCACTGTTTACGATTTATGGATGGCTCGAAACAGAAAGATCTTTGAGGATCTTATTTCGCGGGTTGATAGCATTATTATACGGATTAAAACACACTTATAAAAAGTTATCTTTTCTTTGTATCCAAATGTTTTAATTCATTTTGAGTCTATGGCGTTAGGTTGCTAGATCATTTGATTTGTAAATCTGTGCTTTTTGTTTGCCCAGATATGTCCAGTGTAATTGTATATGCACTTGATATTTGGTTATCTAGGTATGTCCAGTGTACGTGATCTTTGACTGCTAGAGTATGTCCGGTGTACTTGTACATGATTTTTGATCAATATATTACACATTTACCCATATAAAAACTTTGATAGCTGAGATGATGCCATGTGTTTGACTGGTAGCCATTGATTTGAGGGCTAATGGGTTGTCTCAATTAAATGGTTGATGGTCATCTCACTTGCCATATGATTCTAGGGATTTATTCCTATGTGGTGTCATTTCTCTCTCTGTAAAATCTTCTGGATTTTCTTTTGTAAATCTTTATTTCTGATGAGCTCTTGGAGAGATCTATAAATGGAGAGTTGTGAGGGTTGTTTATCTGCTTCTTATAAGTAGTAACCTCTGATTATTTGGTGTAATTCTTGAGAGAAATTAATGTTCTAATGGTTATTTTGGTTGGTACTTTGGTTATTGATCTCTGTGATTGTACTCTTTGATTGTCTAGTGGATTTAGATCATTCTGGATGCTTGACGTGGTAAGTAGGGTGTTTGGTTGAACATCCAGGCTTTATGGCAGAAAAAATTTAGTATTCTTTATTTTTTGTTGAAAGTTTGATTATATTTAAGACAAAAATATGAACAAGTGATATCAAAGCATTCAATTTAAACTTTTTCAATCTTGATTTCTGGTTGTTTATAGAGGTTAAAATCTAGATCTTCACAGATCTGTACATTTAAGGGCTAATACTTGGTTCATAGCGAAAATAAAACAGATTCTGGTATTCTTTGTTTTATGATTTGTGATCTTCAATCTTTTCATAACATTTTTGAACCTTTATTGCAAATAACTCTTTGATCTGGTGATATTTTGGATCTATTGAAAGAAATCTTTCTTTATCTAAGGTTTTATGCGAGAATTCTAGAGTCTAAGGAGACTGGGATTTTGGTTTCTTCAAGATTAAGTAAAATCTTTTTTATTAATGTTACCCCTTAATTAGTTGTCTGATTATTCATATTGTGGTTTTTTGTTGCCTGAATGATCTTACTTTGATGTATCTTTTGGTATTCTACTTTTGTGAAGTATTTGATCACATTATCATTCCGCGTGTATACATTCTGTTCACGACATTATTCTTTTGATTTGTTTTTGCAAGTGTACGGTTCACAAAAAGTAATAAAGCGGAAAATAGAGTCCAAATGTGGTCCCACGGAGATTGAGTAGTTTAATTCTATCTAACTCAGCTTTAATGAAATCGAATTTTCAAACGTGATTCGTAGCAACTTAAATAAACCTTAACTTAACTTAATATGCAACTATGTATGACTCAAACGAACTAGAAGGGAAAAATGGATGTTTAAATGCAAGATTGATGGAATCAATGAATATGAAGAACACTAGGATCACAAATTCCCAAACAATGCTCACCTTAAACCTAATTTCACAAATTGACAACACATTGAATTTTCGAAGAATCAATGCTCCTAAATCTATCCAACAGTTTCTCTCGAGTCAAGTTGAACCTATTGTCATATACTACTATCTTATATCTCTCTATAACGGGTCCAAATATACAAGAATATATGTGATTTTGTGAGCACTTAAAAATTCTCACAAGGCATAAAGGAATATCTTTATCCCCCAATCGGACCCTACGATAATTTATACCCTGTCGAACTCATTTCCCTTCTCTTGAATGCATGAAATGAGTCATCACACTCACACAATCACATGCACATAATAATGGAAGCAATTAATTGTATATAAATTATTCAAAATTCAAGAACGTGTTTTGATGTCAAAATTGCAAAACTAGAAATTAAAAAGTTACATCACAAGGTTCACCGATCTCCTAGTACAATGAAAATCTAGCTCAACATGGAAAAATAACAAAAAACATAATAGCTTTCAGAAATGACATCACTGGTGTAAGAAATTTCTTGTAATCCCGTTTATCTTCGCATTTCTCTTCGTCATTGTGGTGAAAAATCTCCTCCAATATATGTTCTTTCTTTCCCAAGACGTTCTGCTCTTCAATTGATGGCTCTACGGTTTGTATATGTGTTATAAGACTTGTTTCATAAGAGTTTAAAGCATAAACGAAAACTGAAAATCGATTTTATGAGCACTAGATTTATGTTTTATATGTTAGGTTAGTTTATGCTTAGTCATGTGAAACTCGATATTTATGAGCACTAGATTTATGTTTTACATTAAAAAGAAATTTTTTGATTCAAATTGATGAATAGTGTTGTAGCTTTACATAGAGAAAAATGAGGCTTCTATGTATGCTAAGTTTTGTGTGAATTGTCTGAATTAATAAGATAAAAATTAGGTTAAAATCTTAAGTTGGGGGTGATTTTTGAAACTAAGCGTTTAATAAGGGGCATTGCACTAATCATTACACAAAAAAATTATGGTGTTGTCTAATTTTGAAGCTCATCTTTGTAGCATTTATGGTTCAAGTGATTAAGCCTGTAAGGGTACTAAAAATATGGTGCCCAATGATCATTTGATTTGGAAGTCATCGGTCGAAAGCTTACTACAATGGTCGTTTGGAAGGTTTAATGGAGAGGAACCCGTACAAAAGATGAGAAAAAAACTGTCATATGCCTTGGTAAGCTTCAAACATTTATTCGAGAGAATCAGGCTTCTAACAAGGAATTATTAGCTTAGTTTATTCTTAGAAGTTGAAGTAATAAAAAATAAGGAAAATTCTCATTTGTTGATGTGTTGAGCTATAATTAGTAAAATCGACTTAAATTAGAAAGAGTGAAGATTAGTATTTTATAAAAATTCAACCTCAGATCATACCTTGGGAAATAGTGAAATGAATGAAGTTTGGGAGTTGAATAAAGTTTTAGAGTGTGAATCTTATGAGCGAAGAAAGAAAATATCTGGCCACAGAAGGGAATTGAATCAATTTATGACTTTGTGATGCTTTACATGAACCTTTACACACACGTGTTAGTTGTTCATTTGATAGGTGGAAATTGATTTAGCATTGTGATTTTGAAATAGTTTATAATTTCAGCTCTGAAAGTGCAATCTTGAAGCTAAAGACAGGTTATCCAATCAATTTATTTGTGAAAATTTTGTATAGTTAAAACTTTATTTTGTTTGAGAACAAACAATTGTTCAAGTTTGGGGTATTTGATAAATGTATTTTGTACACTTATCTTAATTATTAAATTAGAGCAATTATTGTTATTTTAAATTAATTGAGGCTTAATTTTTTTTAATTTTTTTATATTTCATTTTTTAGGATGTCTCGATGAAAAAATGACGGAAGTGGACAAAAGGAGCAAAAAAATGTTCAAAAATTATTGAATCCAAAGTTTGGGAACTAAATCGAAAAGAGCTAATAGTTAATTCAAACCAAATATCGATGATTGGAGAATGTGTGGTGTATTAGATTAAATTGGAAGATAGAGGACCAAGAAGATATCCAAAAGAGCTAAAATGAATTAAGCGCGAAATTGAGGGACCAAAAGTCAACAAAAGGAAAATTTTCACAACAGTGCAAGCGTGCACAACAACCTATGGTCCACTTATTGAAAACATATTCGATGATCGGAGTGCGTGTAGTGATTTTCTAGGCTAGAACGGCCCAACATCGTCTTTTGACCCAAACTCTTTTCAGAAATCAATTTTAACTAACTATTTACCTAGGGGGGGGGGGGGTGAGACCAGAATAGGAGGATCGGAGAATATACATATTTTCACCACAAGAAAGTGGTAACATACAATTCAAAGGCAAG